CTGACCGGCCTCTGGCGATAGAAAATAAAACTTTTTGGGGCCTGAAAAGTTTTTTTTCCTTCCTTGCTTGCTGACCGGCCTCTGGCGATAGAAAATAAAACTTTTTGGGGCCTGAAAAGTTGTTTTTCCTTCCTTGCCTGCTGACCGGCCTCTGGCGATAGAAAATAAAACTTTTTGGGGCCTGAAAAGTTGTTTTTCCTTCCTTGCCTGCTGACCGGCCTCTGGCGATAGAAAATAAAACTTTTTGGGGCCTGAAAAGTTTTTTTCCTTCCTTGCCTGCTGACCGGCCTCTGGCCCCCAAAAAAGTTTTCTAGCCAAGCCCAAGCATGCAACAGAACCAATGCAAGGCTACCTCGTCGAGGTCGGCTAATTCTGATGAGCAAATTAAGGGCTGACCTCGCTAATTCCTGCAACCTGCCTCGTTGCCTCGGCTGTCCTCGCTATAATTTGTGCAGATATATGTATGGCAACCCTCAAAAGATCGACACGTAAAAATCCCTATGTTTAAACTAGTTGCAATTCATTGATAATTTGAAATTCTACATTATTTGGCGTTACAAAACTATAATCGTACTATATCTACATGTGGGATAACGGGATAACCCACCAACGGACCGAAGAACTTTTGTTCGCCAGTCGTATTAGTGACTGGATTTTTCTGGGAAACTCCAAGGATTGTGCTGTCAATTTTCACAGGTCGCTGTTTTGCTTGCGGTATAAGTTTGCCCTTGTGTTTTATTATTGCGCAAGTTCCAAAACAGAAAAAAACACATGGAACCCAGTTCTTCCAAATTGATGCTGCTGGCCTTTTTTTCCCACTGTGCGCCGTGCACTGTTTTTGGTGCATGCGTGTCCTGTGCTAACATCCTGGCTGGGAAAAGAAAGGATTATGGATTCCCTTAAACGATTTTTTTTTACCTAAGAAAATTTTAAAATTCAAAAAAGGCTGGGAGAAGATAGGGTTATGGATTCCCTTATTTGATTTTTTTCAAATAAGAAATTTGAAAATAAAAAACAGGCTGGGAGAAGATAGGGTTATGGATTCCCTTATTTGATTTTGTTCAAAAAAGAAATTTGAAAATAAAAAAAATACTAGGTTTTTTTTGAATCTCTTAAACGATTTTGAAATAAGCACATTTGAAACTTCAAAAAAGGCGAGGAGAAGATAGGATTATGGTTTCCCTTATTATGCCCCTTTTTGATTTTTTTTCAAATAAGAACTTTGAAAAAAAACTAGGATTTTATATGAATCTCTAAAACATGTTTTTCTCAAATAAGCAAATTTGAAAATTCAAAAAAGGCTAGGAGAAAATAGGATTATGGATTCCCTTAAACGTTTCTTTTTTCAAATAAGAAAATTTTAAGATTCAAAAAAGGCTGGGAGAAGATAGGAGGATTCCCTTATTTGATTTTTTTTCAAATAAGACAATTTGAAAATTAAAAACCGGCTGGGAGAAGATAGGATTATGGATTTCCTTACACGTTTTTTTTTCAAATAAGAAAATTTAAGGATTCAAAAAAGGCTGGGAGAAGATTGCCCTATTTTTTATCAAACAAATATCAAATCAAAATAAGAAAAATGATTCAAAAAAAACTGTAAGTAGAATAGAGTCAGAGAGATGGGTATTGTTTTTGTTTATATATTTAAACTAAATTAAATAATTAAATGAGGAAAATTCCAAAAAATGCAACCAAAACATGAAAACAATAAAACAAACAATAGAAAACAGTTTGGAAGCAAATTTGATGAACGAACCAATGTCAGCCTTGTTTTTTTGAAGTTGATTGAAGTTGATTGCGATTTTTTTTTGACCAGAACTTAAAACACATGCAAAAAGCTCATTCGATTTTTTATTTTCAAATAAGCTTATTTGATTTTTTTTTGTGGCTTGTGTCCCCTGGATTTTGTTGTTCTTTTGTGTTTTTGATTAAACAAAACAAAAGATGGGGGACAGAAATTGATTATAATTGGTCTGTGTCCCCCACAAATTGTGTTTTTTTTAAATCAAAAGCACAAAAAAAACAAAATCCAGGGGGCACAAGCCACAAAAAAAATCAAATAAACTTATTTGAAAATAGAAAAAATCGAATAAGCTTTTTGCATGTGTTTTAAGTTCTGGTCAAAAAAAATCGCAATCAACTTCACTCAACTTCAAAAAAAACAAGGCTGACATTGGTTCGTTCATCAAATTTGCTTCCAAACTGGTTTCTATTGCTTTTTTTATTGTTTTCATGTTTTGGTTACATTTCTTTTGGAATTTTCCATTTTTTAATTATTTAATTTAGTTTAAATATATAAACAAAAACAATACCCATCTCTCTGACTCTATTCTACTTACAGTTTTTTTTGAATCATTTTTCTTATTTTGATTTGATATTTGTTTGATAAAAAATAGGGCAATCTTCTCCCAGCCTTTTTCGAATTCTTAAATTTTCTTATTTGAAAAAAATCGTGTAAGGAAATCCATAATCCTATCTTCTCCCAGCCTGTTTTTAATTTTCAAATTTTCTTATTTGCAAAAAAAGTCAAATAAGGGAATCCTCCTATCTTCTCCCAGCCTTTTTTGAATTTTATTTTTTTCTTATTAAAAAAAAAACGCAACGTTTTAAGGGAATCCATAATCCTATCTTCTCCTAGCCTTTTTTGAATTTTCAAATTTGCTTATTTGAGAAAAACATAATTTAAGAGATTTATATAAAATCCTAGTTTTTTTTCAAAATTCTTATTTGAAAAAAAAACAAATAAGGACATAATAAGGGAAACCATAATCCTATATTCTCCTCGCCTTTTTTGAAGTTTCAAATGTGCTTATTTCAAAATCGTTTAAGAGATTCAAAAAAAACCTAGTATTTTTTTATTTTCAAATTTCTTTTTTGAACAAAATCAAATAAGGGAATCCATAACCCTATCTTCTCCCAGCCTGTTTTTTATTTTCAAATTTCTTATTTGAAAAAAATCAAATAAGGGAATCCATAACCCTATCTTCCCCCAGCCTTTTTTGAATTTTAAAATTTTCCCAGCCTTTTATGACACTGACAATGATTTGACTTTTGAATCTTGGATGGGTTGGTTTGAGCTAAGTATGTAGTAAGTATATATGTAGTAAAAAAAAATGAACTACCTGGTTACAAGTTATAGTTATATGTAACATGTATGATAATTAAGGTGACTCAAACTTGCATTGCCTTGTGGTTTATCTTTTTTTATTCCACCTGCGAGCCATGAATCCATGAGAATGGCATCGTTTCTCTTTGGTCCAAAATGCAGAGTTTGGTGCCTATTTGGGGGAGCCCAATCCATAAAACACAAGCCACCAGTTAAAACGCAAGACCTGTGCAAATTCTCAGATTGTGCTCACCTTTTTAGGCGTGCAGCAGTTCATGTCACTAGTACTGCTATGGTTATTCAGTTTTAAAGCTACATATTCCCATACCCAAAGGCTCCATGTATGGAATACTTACCAACATTCGCTTACTAGGGAATGTGGATATATAATGATATATACAATTATATACCTGGTTGGTGGTATACCTACCCCTCTGAAAAATATATAAGTCAAATGGGATGATGAAATTCCCAAGATATGGAAACATAAAATTCATGTTCCAAAGCACCAACCAGTTGTAAAGCTACATATTCCCATGTGATAGGTAATATATACCATACTACATGTAAATGACAGATAAATAATTAGGTTACATTTTATATTGTTATAAAGTTATGGTGCTGGAATATTTACCAGCATTTGCCCGAACAAAAGTACCCCGTTATGTAGGTAAATATACCATACATGGAGCATATGGGATTATTGTTATCATTGTCATGACTTGATTCTTATTATAGTTACTTCCATTATTCTTGTTATCATTGTCATTACAGTTGTTATCATTGTCCGTATGTACTGTCACTATTATTACTAGCTTTGCAGTATTATCATCTGATCTTGATCCTGTTATCATTTAATTTAATTTAACACGATGAAAACCCCGCCATGTTTCATAGTTATGTAAATCATGTTAAATCACTATAAACCAGCTATAAATCCCATGATAATCCCATAAGAAATCCCCATTTTTCCATGTTTCATAGTGGTTTCTCACTATTATTCAGCTATAAATCCCATAAGAAAATCCCCATGAATTTCCGTGGTTAAATCGCCACGATTCGTCGTTTAGCCGGGCCAAGCGGCTGCACATGGAGCTCCGCCACCGTGGGCACCGCCAAGCGCGGAAACGACGAAGGCGATGGGTCAAGGAGCGTCTCCTGGTTAGTTCGAAATAAACCGCAATATATCTATGGAGTATCTATATACCACATTGTAGGGATATCCCTAATGGATATCAATCATATCCCTAACATTTATATATAATTGGGGGCTCCACATTGTGGAGACCTGAAGAAATAAGATGGATTATTAGATTTATGAGTTGTCGAAAAGTAATTTATTATCAATGGGAATTCCAGGATCCTAAAATGGAGGTACTGTACCATATTTTTTGCTTTCCGGCACTCATTCCTCCTTTTTGGACGTGCCATGCATGCAGGTTTTTGATATGCAAAGTGCATACCCCTATACATAGTTATATTGGTCCTTCAGACCGTTTCAACATCCAAGACCACTGGCCCATATGGCAGGGCAAGGTCACAAATTTGGAGCTTTGCAGTCCATATGGCAGGACGCTCCCACAACTTTTGGACTCCCTTCCCCCTTACCCAGCGTACTGGGTGGTGAGGGTGGGTCTGATGACACTTTGAACCGAAAAACGGCCAAACGGTTTCATTCATCCGTCAAGCAAACAGTCGAAACGACTCACATGCTTTCCGGCACTCATTCCTCCTTTTTGGACGTGCCATGCATGCAGGTTTTTGATATGCAAAGTGCATACCCCTATACATAGTTATATTGGTCCTTCAGACCGTTTCAACATCCAAGACCACTGGCCCATATGGCAGGGCAAGGTCACAAATTTGGAGCTTTGCAGTCCATATGGCAGGACGCTCCCACAACTTTTGGACTCCCTTCCACGTGCCCCAGCAGCGAAGCAGCTGCTTGACCTGTCCTCAGGTCGACCAAAAAGCACGGTAAGAGACTACCAGCTCTTTAGTACGCTTAGAGGCAACCAGTCCAGGAAGCTGGGAAAGGGCATCACACAGGTAAAGGCGCGCCACGGACACTGAGGCCCAGCGACCTCGAAGCAGGGTCTGCTCCATATTGCCTGTGCGGGCATAGAATGCCGTCGCACCTCCCCGTCTGAGAGAGTATCCTCTAAACTGTAGATGTTCGACACCGAAGAATTTGAATAACTCGTATAGGGCCTTCCTGAAGGCGGTTCCTGTGTGCACCCAAATTGGAACCTTATAAAGCCTACATTCACGTTTGTAAAGCACCAATTCATGAAGGAGGGCCAGAAGGGCCGGTTCTGTAATGGTCACCGATTCTTTGTTGTTATGCCGCGTTCGCCCTTTGCTGACTGGCAAGCTGACGATACCATTGCGTTCTCCCAGTAGTAAGTCCATTGGCCTGATTGAGAGAAGCTCACCAGTCCGAAGAAAGCAATGGAACCCAAGTCCTAACAGGCTAGCCAGGTCAAATTTACCAGCTTGCACCGCTTTGGACATCAACGCCCATAACAGGTCCTGCGGCAGAGGAGGGGCCCTCGACGGGACCTCCATTTTTCGCCAATTGGCAAATAATTTCCAACTGCCAGGAAGCCTTCGCCGAGTAGAGGGCAGGAAATAGTGCATTCCGCTCAGTGCATCGGCGACCACATTGAGCGGGGCTCCTTTGTGAAACTGGGCTTCGATCCAATCGGAGATTTGTTCGTCCATGTCCTCCATTGAGGTCACCTGAACAACATCCTTGCAAAGCAGTGAGACTGAGTTGTAATAGCGTTCCTGAGTCTTCTTTGAGATTCCAGCGTCACGGAGCACAATATGACGTCTAGCCCGTTGTCTTGCACGGCGTGTGCGAACACCAGCAAAACTAGGCAACCGTCCCATGGCGGAGATCAGGCTCTACTCGCGTCATCCGTGGGATTATCCGTAGATTCCACATGGATGAGCACAGGGTGCAATTGAAATCCTAACTGCACCGCCGAAATCTGTCTCATGATGGACATTAAAGCAGTGCTACTGGACCTACCCTTAGAAACTATGGACATGCTAACGTAGCTGTCCGTCAAATGTATGAACCTACAATGACATTCGCCTAATCTCTGTACACGCCATCTGAGTGCTAAAAGAATGCTACGGAGCTCTAACCGGTTGATGTGCTCTGCTTTCTGCCATCTGCAGTTGAAGACATGCCGCCAACACCACCATGCGGAGCAAGCGCTCTGCCGTGGGTACGCTTTAGGATTCATCACTGCACCACTGCTAATACGAACATCACTTCCAGTATGGTTCACCCTTGCCAGCAATAGCCTTGTTAATTGATGGACAGCAACAGGCTCAGCAGAGGTACTTCCATAAACCAGTTTTCTTGCCAGAGGGCACGTTGCGTCAGGAGGTGCACAGAACCCTGGTGCCATACCCATTCGGTTACACAAGTGTTTGTAGGTCATCCCCGGCAGAGCATGCGCGCAGGAGCCCCAGGCAAAGATCGCAAAAGAGTACATAGAGAAACTATCCCCCACTAAGCTACACCTGGCGTCCTCATAGTCCTGATAGTTCTTCTTGATATCGCTTGCTGAGAGAGCTAGTTCTGTGTGACCCCATCCATAGCCGTGGAGAAGCTCTCTCTCACTTCCTTCGAGTAATCTCCACCCTTTCTTTGACCAAAGAACATACTGGGATTTGTATTGGTAAGGAGGGTACCTGAAGTCGTCACTTGCCCACCGCTGTCGAGCATCAGCTGGAGTTCGGGATAGTCCCGCGGGTGCGGGAGGCGGTCTGTTCCTCTTAATGGCTTTCATGCATGTTGGGAAGACTGTCTTCGGATCCACTGGCGTCCAGGTACTGTCTTCTCGAATCCACTGTTCTACCAGGGGATACTCATTTGGGGCAGTGATCTCAAAATAATTTTCCTTTTCCAAAACCTTTATACCTGGAAGAGCTGGGAGAGACCTGTTCGTCCAGCAGAATCGCGGTCGCGAAATTGGTACTGCCTCTGAGCATTGCACGCGATATGGCTTCACCCCTAACGCTGCACTGATTTGGTCCGCTGCAGACTTGTCCATAGAAGCTACGTTCTCAACAAAGAAAATGATCTTGAAACGCCGACCAAAGACTTGTCGAAGCAACTCCAGAATCCGCAAGATTTCACTGAACAAGCCACTTTGCTCCCCATCCAAGTTACTTCTTCCAAACTTGACTGCACTAAGGTCCACGCATGGGAAGCCCCCCCATAGGTGTACTTCCTCAATGTGAGGGTATTGAAGCAACCACCCAAACACTACCTTCCTGTCAATCTCCCGAACATCCCCTCCTAGTACTGCATGAGGCCATCTCCTCGCTGTTATACGATTGGCTGTCTTGCTCAGGTCATACCCAATGAGAGCGGTAGGTTCAACTCCAACCAGATCGTAAGCACGGAATGCCCCTCCAATACCGTTGAAAAGAGAAACCACGAGGTAGGGGAGCTTCACACCCAGGACCGGAGACCTACCCAAGGAGCGACAGAAGTCCTTACCTACCTCCGACAGCTCATCCGACCTCCCAACGGCACCACCTGTACCTGAAGCGTCAGAAGCAGTCGCAACATCACTCACCTCGGCCCCCAAGAAAGTATGGAAAAGGCAGCTTCCCAGCATCAAAAGGCAGAGCTCCCTCCGGGCTTTAAGTTGCTGATCGGCCGACACGTACTTGCCTCCTATCCATTTCCAAATGACCTGAGCAATGCTCATTCCCGCACGCCTGAACTGAAGCACGTGTACCCACCTGCCAGCAACCACCTGAAGCCACTTACGGGGCACCCTTCTTCTTGACAAAACCAAGCATGTTGCTTGCGGAAGTTTCACCATTCGCTCCGCAGACACCCCCAGTACCTTAGTAGAACCGTCAAAGCGCGCCCCAAGCTCCTGCACCTGCTGTGCGTTGACCACCCGCTTCTTTTCAGATGAAATGACACCTGCTTGAGCCCATGCCTCCTCCGCAGCGCAGTGTAGTTCAGCAGCCCCGCCACCAATCTCACCAGGTCCCAACCGTTCTCCCGAGAAGAAGTTGTCCAAGTAGACATGAAACCAGGAACGCACCGTGTTCTTTGCGACCTCAAGAACCTCTACCAACCAAACCGGTAGGGGCCTAGTCCTCGAAATCAACCTTTCCTGTGCCAACCCATGTCTGCTGAGAAGATTCTGACTCACCTCTTGCATCACGGAGACTGCACTACTCCAACCCATTGGCAAAACGGAACAACTCAAGTAGAACTTCTTGGCAGGGCTAAGATGAATAAGAGACCCATTCACGCAAAAGTTAAACGCGAGGAACCTACGCCACGCAGATGGAAGTCTAAAAAGATAGAACGCGCTGGTCATATCGCTCTGGCAGAACTGTACTCTTTCACCCTCAGACAGCACCATTGAAAGATATTGAGTGATACCTGGAAGCTCAGAGACCATTCCCGAGAGTTGAGTCATCACGGCATTTGCAGGTATCAAGTTCATGATAACTCTAAGATGCGGTCGTCCATCGGGCAAAAGTGTAGGTTTGGCGACCCCGAACATTCCACTTAGCACTGCCTCACCTCGATACCTAAAAACCTCATCCTCTGAAATCCACGCGCAGATTCCACGTTCAACCAGCAGCTCAGCCACTTTCATTCGGTCCTCTTCTACTATATGAACTTTGGATTGAAGTCTCGGCAGTTGCTGCCCTTCATCAACAACAACACAGTCATCAGGGTGCAGCAAGAAGCTCCTAGTCCTACCACTAGTCCACTGAGTGACATCGACCGATCCCCCATGTCCCGGGGGAGGAAGTGCAGGTGTGATTTGGGCCAGGCTCAGCGGCTCCATCCTAGGCACTTCTTCCCCCGTGTAACTCACGAACCGTAAGCTAAGTTCTTTTTCCACCTCGCGGGCACTGCGCGGCACTGTCGTGTCCTCAGCCAAGGCACGCTGTACTGCCGCACGAACATTGTCCACGGCGGAGACATCTGTCTTGCGCCAGCGGCCCATCGGCACGCCTCTGCTACCATGCAACCAATTAAGGCACAGCACGGACACCAGAGTCCAGCTGTCAGTACAATGCCGGCTTACAAACAGCTCGGACTTTGCATTCTCATAGGAAGTCGTCTCGATCATCCTGACTGTACTATCCAACTGTCCAAGTCGGATTGGAAAGACCCCTTTACCAAGGGGCCGATGCACGGCACTTGAACCAGCATCTAGGAAAGGAAGCACCTTCGACAAAGCAGATGCGACTCCCATCCTCACACTCTGCGCACGGGCATGAATGACGACCCAGCACAACAGTGTTCCGAATTGCTTGAGGGAGGTTGCCTCCTCACATATTGTTGCAAAGGCTTCCCAGCCTTCCAGAGCCGCCCCATGCAATCCGCGGGGCCCCTGTTTCTCAACCTTCCTCACTTGTCTGTCTTCCCCTCCTTGCTGGAGGGCTTGCTGTCCTTGCCGTCCGGCTTGTCCTTCTGACTGGCCCACCATCCTGAGGACCACTTGTTCCATCCCCCGCCAGCATTGCTGCCTCCATCTCCTCGGCCTCCTTTTGACCAGGGCTTTCCTTTGCCTTTGCCTTTTCCTTTTTGTTCTGCTGCTTTTCCACCTCCTTTCCAGCCCTCCCCCTCGCTTCGGGGTCTCCTCCAGTCTTCGTTTCCTGGAGTCTGGCTGCGGTTCACCAGCTTGCCATGTTTCTTGGCTTCGAGGAGGAGGGCTGTCGGTGCACCCTGAGTGGGTTCTAGAGGGTGAAGTTCCAGGTACTGTGCTGACCTCCAAGTACCTTCGTTCACCGCAGTGTGTATCGCTAAGTACCGGGAAGCCAGGGAATCGCCCAGTTTTCCCAGCTCCCCGGCCCTCAGCTCGTCCAGGCACACTGCAAGGTGATGCATCTCCTTCATGTCCCTGCTGGTGGCAGTGTGGTATGGCCTCACCAGCAGGTTGAAGTAAGATGCCATCTTCACCCCCTCCGTCACATTGCCTGACTTGGTGGTTTCCACCAAGGCAGACTGGTCGAGGGATGCCTTGGCGTGCTCCACCAGCATTCTGAGCACGGCGCCTGGCTGCCGGCTCGAACGCTTCTGGAGCGGTGCCAGCATCTCGCTCGAGCTGCTGCTCTCCTCCTCCTCTCCATAGGAGGAGTCCCCGCTGCTGCCGGATGGGGACCCCTCCTCCTTCTTCCTTCTCCTCTTCGCCTCCTTTGCTTTCCGGCGCTTGCTGCCTGAGCTCTTTGTCTTGTTGGCTCCTCCTCCAGTCAAGAGCTTCACCAACGCCTTTGCCCTTTCTAAGCCTGAGCTCTTGCCTTCTCCTCTCTGCTTCTTTCCTCTCTTCTCCTCCTTCCTGACTTCGTCCCTCTGCGCGGCCTGCGCCAGCAGTTGGGAAGCAGGATCTTTGGGGGTCTTCTTCTTTTTCTTCTTTTTCCGTTTCTCCGGATGCTCCTCTGAATCCTCCACTTCTTCGGACTCCTCCCGCTTTGCCTCTACCAGGGCCAGCGAGGTCTGAGGATTGGAGGCCCCTCTCCTCTTCTTTTCTCTCCTGCCCTCTTCCAAGGATCCTTCCATTGCCTCGGAGAAGGAAGGAGAATACTCTTCGCTGTCCTCGACCAGAATGGGCTCTGCGACTCCACCACCCGACTTTGCCTTCAGGCCTTCTCTCAGCTTGCGGAGTTTCCCACGCAAGTCTGGTGCCCCAGCTGGTCGTTTCTTTGTAGTTCCTGGCTTTTCTTCTTTCTTTTTGCCTCCAGGTCTCCTGCCTGGTTTTGCACGCTTCCGGCCTTCTCCAGGTGGATCTCCACCGCCGCCTTCCGCTTCTTTTTGCTCCTCGTCGTGGCCTCGTAGAAACTGCTTTCCCCACGCCTTGAGATAGGGCGCTTCGAAGGTGCCCCGCTTGAAGAACCTTGCACGAACTACATGCACCGCCTCCCCACCAAGATCCAATGCGCACGGCTCTTGCCAGCACAAATGGAGGGGGAGGCGGCGCCGGTTCAGCAAGTTTGTAAGGGTTTTGCCAACTTCCTCGTCGTTGCACCCCAAGCACCGCCCTCTCAACAGTAGGCTGCCATCCATGTAGTTTGAAAACTCTCTGATAAGGTATGCTGCGTGGGCACCGGAACCCAGGTGGTCTGCCACCAAACGTGCCGTGAACTCCACGACATCCCCAGGTTCCAGTTGCAGACCTTCCCAAATTGGAGAGTCCTCCACTGAAAGCCATTGTCCGTAAGGTGTTCGTTCTGCACCTTCCTCTGCCATCTCACCTTTGCTTTCGCTCACGCCGGTCGTCCAACCGGGGCCTTTCGGCCAGCAAAGACTCGGGCAGTCCTCGATGGATCACACGGTACGGGTCCTCGGCCAGACGCCACACCCGTTTGTGCTTCTTTCCTCCTCTGTTGCCTTTCTTCTTCTTTTTCTTTTGTTTCTTCTCGTCTCCTGGAAGTCTTTCTTCAGCAGCCTCCTCTCTTCCCTCTCTGGGATTCCTTGGACTCCTGTCCTTTCTCTTTTTCTTTTCTGCCTTCTTTTCACGTCTCTGTTCTTCTTCTTCCTGTATCCTCTTCAGCCTCTCTTCACTACGCTCTTCCTCCTTGACCTTTCTTTTCAACGGCGAAGGTGAGGTAGCTCGTGCCCTCTCAGAGCGATGGCTGGTGTCCTCACGCCTGTCAGGCGCCTTCTCAGCGTCCTCGGCTTTGTCTTCCTCCTCAGACTCCTCCTCGTACGTGTACTCCTCGCTTTCTTGCGCCGGCCGGGCTGCGGCTTTAGCGGCTGACTTCGCAGCCAGCCCGGAGGGTGCACGGGCACTAGCACTGGCAGCAGGTTCCGATGCAGCGGCCTCGACCGGTTCAGCACCGCTTTCCCTGGGGGCGCGGCCAATGCCAGCTCCCAAGGATCGCAATGCACGAACCTCGCGGGTCACTGCAAGGGTCAGGCCGTTAGCAACGGTCTTAAGACCAGCTGGCCCTGACCACCTGCTGGCCAGTTCCTTGCCCAGCACCTCCCAGGCGCCGCAACCCTCACACCAGCTATCGCCCGCCACACGCTCAGACTGGTGGCACTTGTTACACTTGCCACTCATCTGATGACACTTTGAACCGAAAAACGGCCAAACGGTTTCATTCATCCGTCAAGCAAACAGTCGAAACGACTCACATGGCCATATTTTGTGGGGATATTCTCTTACATAGTCCTTACATAGGCCTTATATATGGAATCGGTACCTCCAATCAATCGGATCCTGAAATGGCCATTGATATTAGTAACCTAGAAGTAATCTGTAAGTACGTCTCTTTTCTCGGTCTTTCCAACTCTGCCAGCAACTCAGAAACCACCAAAAACAGATCTGCGATCAGGTGTCCTACAAGTAGTCTATAAGTTTGTATCTATAAGTTCTCTGTAGGTAATCTATATGTAATCTATGAGGGACATTGATAGGAAGGAAAACAATGATAAACCATGTCTATAATACATAATATATATATATATATTTATTTATTTATTTATTTATCGTAGATCTACAGACCCGGTATACCCCCCAAAAATGACATGTTGCTAGGGAAGATGATGATAAACCATTGGATTTAGAGGTACTTTTTTTTTTTACTAGAGAGTACACCTGGATAGAATCGGATGTTAGTCAGGTAGTGATGGTAGCTGAGCATTGTTAGGTATGTTAGATTAGTAACTCTATGAATGTCAGGTGTCCTAGGGTATTTTGGATATTAGGTTAGGGATAGCAATCTAATCAATCTATAAGTCAGTCAGTTCCTGATGTCATTGTAAATAGATATGGTTTCCTAAGTGTCTTCTAGTCTATTTTGAACATGCTTGGAAGAGTAAAAACACATCACAATCTACTACACACATCACAATGTCTTGATAACCAGACATGTCCAACAATATTTTCTGGCTAGTGGTTGAGCCCTACCCCTCTGAAAAATGATGGAGTTCGTCAGTTGGGATGATGAAATTCCCAATATGATGGGAAAGTCATAAAAATCCATGATTCCAAACCACCAACCAGTGTTTGTTGGTTTATAAACCATTATAATCTCCATTAACTAGTTCGTTATATCTACCATAAACCATAGAATTCATGGTTATAAATACCATTAAATCCCATTAATCACCACCATTTATAGTTGATGTACCTATTAAACATGGTGATTTACACAACAAGACGATCGGATCCAGATGGAAGATATATGGAAAATCCAGAAAAACTGGTCCTGTTTTGACACTTTTTCTTTATGGCATGGCCCCTGGGATTTCATGCAAAAAAACCATCGAAGAACATCGTAACGATATGCATCAAACGTTTCAAAGGCGCATCCACATTTTTTTCCACACTAGGTAGATAAAAGCAATCTGTAAATAGCGGGAATTTGTATACCACACACAAAAAAAATCATTAATTAGATCAGATAGGAGAATCAAATAGGACACTATACCACACTATACCACACTATTAATTTCTATGAGGTACAAATCATTTAGAACCGCCTGGAAAATCGCTGGAAAATCTCTGGAAAAGGTGGTTTCATCCCACGAGGAATTCTCAAAAGCATTCCGCTGACAGTAAGACATATCGACATATCATTTCTATATAAATAGCCTTTAAAAATCTTTAAAAAATATGTCTATATATTATGTCTATCATATTATTTTATCATATTATGTTATCATTTCTATATAAATAGAATTATTCAAAAGAAATAATCAACATAAACATATTACTGAGCCTTTTTTCATGTCTGCAGCCCTTCAAATAATTTGTGCAGCAAAAAGCGTATTATACAAAGATTTTGGAAGAACATTTCACACAACACCAACCAGCACATGGTTCGTACCAGTACCTGCAGAAAAGGCCGCACTCGGATAATAATGATTGATGCACCCAACCTTTCGGGAACATCCTACAGCATGTGGTTCTAGGAAATACATGAAGGTTTCCAATGAGGCTAAGCCCCCCAGATCATGCAACTCATTACCCATAGGATCCTAACGGGGCTGCTATATATGGTGTTCCATGGATCCCATGATATATATATATATATATACCCCATTTATGCTACTTATGTTAGCATATATACCAGCACCATGGATCCTATGGGTGTTTGGGGATCCACCATAGGAAACCTCCATGGCTTTCCATTCCATGGTTATCACGGTTCTTGTAGGTGGGGGGCTGGCAAGTCTGGAGTAACCCCTGGTGGTTTGGCGTTGTTTTTTTCAACACCCAACTAGTCAACTAGGCTTCACTTTCATCATGGTTCACATGAACTCACACTCGCATTAACCATGGAGGATCATGATACCATTTCTTGGGATGAACATCAACAAATTGTTGATACCAGAAGCCAAACAAACAAACCTTAAATTGGTGACCCAAAAAATATGGGAAATTCCTAAAATTGCTGACCCAAAAAACATAGGGACCATAGGGGCTCCTCCATGCTTTGGGTTTCAATTTTGGATCAACACAATGACATGTTCCCGCTGACACCGGCGTCATCCCATTGGTGAACAAAACCAACTCACCAGTTAGGCTAGGGTAATAGTAAGTTTCACCACATGATGCATGCATCATATATCTATATATATATATAAATGTATAGTTGTCTGTTGAGCTCCCTAAATGGATATATAACCCGAGTTATAGGGCGGTTATGCTATAATATCCAAACTTCGGAGGTTAAAATCGAATCACACCAAACTAACCATACTAGCACTTTGTCAACCAATGCTAAATAGTCAACTAACCAACCAAACTAACAGCAATAGTTGGCAGAAAATATTCTACTCATAGATACTGATTTTCCCATTATTGAAATAGATACTATCCCGACTAACACCCCTTGATTATTTTCCATATATTTATTATATGAGTGGCGGACGAAAATACTTACTACCCGCAATGGACATGGCCAAAGTGGGTGGTCCCCTATCGGTTGTGAATGTTTTCGCACAAATTCGAACATCCCAAGTCCACTCTCCACTACTTTAGTCTTCCGCTAATTTTGTCGGATACTCATATTATATACATACACGGGATTATAAACCCATCATACCCTCCGGTAATCAACCATGGCAATGGTAAATTCATCATTTATAGCTGATGTTCGCATTAAAACACCCTCATTTATAGAGGACTCCCAGCCAGCCATGATTGATTATCCTATGATATTCCCATCCAATCCCTTTAATTCCCATTAAATCCTTCTAAAATCCTTGTATATTCTCATGAAAATCCTCATTAATCACTATAAAAAAGATGTGGGTAAAACAATGTCATTGGCACCATCCCCCAGTCATTTTTATAGGTGGTATGTTTACCATTCCCGGACATGGGTGGTTTATGACGTTGTTTCACTCACATGATTCCCAGGTTAGTGGTGCAATAGCCATCTTGAAGAATCATGGAGTGAAAGTCAATGGGTTCCGGATGACATCCCATATATAAAATGGAAAATAAAAAATGTTTGAAACCACCAATCAGATAATATATATATATATATGTGACTATGGAAAATGACCATTTTATAGCTAGGTAAATCACCTATTTCGACTGGGCCATTTTCAATCGCAAACTGCTAGTTTACCAGAGGGTAATCCCCATTTGTCGATGCTTAAACCTCCAGCCCACGGCTCCTCCAACGGTTTGGGCACCGCCCGCCTTTGCACCGGGGCATACGAGCTGCCGCTCACCGCGTGCCGCGCGTGCCGCGACAAGCGGCGACAAGGCAAAAACTGCCCAAGGATGAGGGCCATCGTTTGGACCCAAAGCAATCCCCGTCTGACAATTAAAGGTTTTTCAGTTTTTTGTTGCTTTGGGTGTTTGGAAACACAGAGTTTGTGCGTTGTTTTTCTTGAGTTTTTGGGTTTTGCTTTGAATAATCGGATTGAGAGACAATTGAAAGCCAGATTGAATGCATAAAGTCACTAGATATTTCTAGGACCTCTGATCTTTGACTTGTTTCAAGTTGCACTTAGACACTTCGACCATAAGGAGTTGGGACTTGGCACTTCATGATGGCTTCTTGAGCCAGGCGTCAGCTGTGGCGAACCAGGGAGCTACTTAAAGCCATCACTGGAATACTCCGCAACAAATGATACTGAAATCTAACTCTTCATTAAATAATTATCATTATCATTCATTATCTTCATGAGAATTACTATCCTTATCATTAGCAGTTCATTGAATAATTATCCTTACCCTCTGGTGAACTAACATAGCAATGGAAAATCACCATTTTTCATGGGAAAATACACTATAAATGGCTATTTTCAATAGCTATTTTGACATAACCAGAGGGTATCAATCATGAATTGTGGAAATCAATTATGGCTTATCCCGCAAGTAATCCCTAATACTTGGGCTTGTGCCAACATTTCCACCGAAGCCCCACCGAAGCCCCGTCGATGGCTCAACCCGAAGCTCAACAGCTGCATCAACTTCCGTGGATCTTGGCGATGCTCGAATCTGATTTCAACCCGTCTCATCTTATCTCCTAAAAAAAAGGGTGTCATATTCATGTTATATAGATTTACATAGTATACGTATATATATATACAGTATATATAGTATTTATATATAGTATATATAGTACAAATAGTATATATAGGACATATAGTATATATAGTATATATAGTATATATAGTATATATAGTATATATAGTATATATAGTATATATAGTATATATAGTATATATAGTATATATCGTATATATAGTATATATAGTATATATAGTATATATAGTATATATAGTATATATAGTATATATAGTATATATAGTATATATAGTATATATAGTATATATAGTATATATAGTATATATAGTATATATATAGTATATATATAGTATATATAGTATATATAGTATATATAATATATAGTATATATAGTATATATAGTATATATAGTATATATAGTATATATAGTATATATAGTATATATAGTATATTTATATATACAGTATATATATATACAGCATATATATATATAGTATATATATATATATAGTGTATATATATAGTATATATATATATATAGTGTATATATATAGTATATATATAGTATATATAGTCCCGGACTGGAACTTAGAATGATCGGCGGGGTTCCAAACGACGATACCCCGAACTTAGAATGACTGAAAAAAGGCCCTCCCGAGTAGCAACTTAGAATGACTCCGAGTTAGAATGACTGAAAACCAAAAAAAACGTGGAAAAACACAGTGTTTTGGGAGATTTCGGACATCTTATGGAAATGCTTTGGATTCCACTGATTAGCCAAATTGGCAGAAATCATCAAAACATGTGGAAAAAATCAGTGTTTTTGAAGGTCCTTGACAACGTATGGACGTGCTTTGAAATCACAAGTTGGCAGAAGTCATCAAAAAAAACACAAAAACGCAGAAAACTCTGGAAAACAACGCGTTTTTTCTCCCCTGTTGTTCCGTCCCGGTAGCTCATGCAAGCTCAAATTCCAAGTTGTGGCACTGGTGGCACACATATCCAATCAAGTTGAATTACGTTTGGAGGTATCACAGCTGCAGGCTGAGAAGGTGTATGTCTTTGGAGAAGGGCACGAATTGTTTCCAAAACGTCACATCAGTGATATATACATATAATTACATATATATATATTTCTACATACATACATTTACATATATATATATTTATATATATCGACACCTCCTTTAGCCAGAGTTCACCCTCCAGCACACACATCTATATACTACGTGAAACATCATGCACAAACATCATGCACTGCAAGGGCCAGCAAATACATTGAATGAAGTAGCATGCAGCGTCCAAGGCATTTGGAACTCTGCCCTGTGCTGCTGACTGCAAGGGAACAAGCCACAAGCGCGCACATGTCTGTACAATGAACCGGACAGTACTTCTTTCATCTAAACTTCTAAACCCCCATTGAACACGTGCACCATTCTATGTTTCAGTGCCTAGCATGGAATCCTAGAGACAAGTACCATCCGCCAACGCGTCACAAACTCGTTCCAATTGCTGCTTCCATTCCTTCTGCTTGGGAAATTCCTCCGAATAGCTGTGCAGAATGCACCTGACTGCGTGGAGCAGGGCCTCTGGTTCGCTGCCTCAAAAGCCGGAGTCACATCAAATCAGGGTGAACATGCTGAATGTATTTTATATATATAAAGCATAATTTGTGGTGTGTGTATGTGTGTATGTATATATATATATATGTACATGTATGTGTAAACATGTGAACAAAACATATATGCATAGCCCCACTAGATATGCAGCAAAGTGAAAGAACTTAGAATGCGGGTTCCTATCAAAACAAGCCTCCATACGAAACAAGGTACGGCCCTTCAAGCCACCATATTTGAAATTCATCTGCTTGTCGCAGTTCGGATAATGTCCCTGCCATGTGCACCGTTCTGTGTGGTGTGAGAGGAAAACGCCTTCTCTGTGAGTGGGAATCATTGTGAGGCCTTTCTCACTCAACTTTTGGAAAGCCGGGCGGTCCTTCCAAGTCTTGACTCGGACGTACCCACCGGCAGGCACATAGGATTTAATCACCTCCTCGTCCGAGGAATCCATACAGATCTCCATTCGATCAAGCCCTTCTTCTGCTTCAACCAGAGCTTGTTGTTCAAGAGCATCTGGGTCCATTTCCTCGTCCGAATGCTCAATGTGGCTGGTATCCTCCAAACCCTCACCGTTTTTCAAAGCTTCTTTAACCTCGCTGGAAATTCCAGCGTTGAAGCAGGAAGGTATGGGACCATCACCTTGCACGGGGTGTCCCCTCAACAGAACCAAGCGGTGCTGGTCTCCATTTCCTACTTTCACCAGCATAATGTCCAAATCATCCCCAGTGATAGACACCTGGAGGGAGAACATTTTCTCAGAAACGGTCCTCAGATCTGCGTTGGTCCTCATTTTGGTGACAACCTGCATTTTGACCTTGTCAAAGAGAAACTTGCGCTGACAAGAGTGCGCATGGAAGTTCTCCAACTTGAGTCTCTGGTTTGCAGTCAACGGCTTTCCCTGAGCAGCTCTGTCCTTCCGCAATGCATCAAATCTACCCTTCTCATCAGAAAAATTCATCACAAAGGTCTCAATCGGCTTGCAAACCCACTCTGGCACGCGCTGCCGGGTAGACGTGTCATCACCCTCTTGGATGGCCCAAATCAGAGCTGACTCCCCCTCAAAGGCTTCATTTCTTTGCGCTTTCAGGTGCGCAAGTTCGCCTGGGGTTGTTTCCAGTTTTGGTACTGCAAGGAGACGAATCAAGCCACACAGCGAAGATCGATTGCGCTTGGTGAGGGCCTCCCGCATCTTTGGTTTGTCACCTGCAGTCATTCTAAGTTCAGAACCTCCCCACCTATTAATTTACTCTATGCCTATCTCGATTCATATGTATCTCTATATATATATATATATTTATTTATGAGATTTTCTGCGAGCCAGGTATTGGAAAATGCAAAAAAAGAAATCCTCATTTTATCCTCATTTTATGAAACCTCGTTAAATTTGCATCAGATTTTGCCTTGGATTTTTATCCTCATTTTATCCTCATTCTCAATCCTCATTTTATCCTCATTTCCTCATCAAATCCTCATTTTATCCTCATTTTATCCTCATTTTATCCTCATTTCCACATCAAATCCTCATTTTATTCTCATTTCATCGTCAAATCTTCATGTTATCCTCATTTTATCTTCATTTTACATTTCCTCATCAAATCCTCATCAAATCCTCATTTTATCCTCATTTCCTCATCAAATCCTCATTTTATCTTCATTTTATCCTCATCTCCTCATCAAATCCTCATTTTATCCTCATTTTATCCTCATTGTATCCTCATTTTATCCTCATTTCCTCATCAAATCCTCATTTCCTCATCAAATCCTCATTTTATCCTCATTTTATCCTCATTTCCTCATCATTTCCTCATCAAATCCTCATTTTATCCTCACTTTATCCTCATTTCCTCATCAAATCCTCATTTTATCCTCATTTCCTCATCAAATCCTCATTTTATCTTCATTTTATCCTCATTTTATCTCCATATCCTCATCAAATCCTCATTTTATCCTCATTTTATCCTCATTTATCCTACATACATACATACATACATACATACATTACATTACATTACATTACATTACATTACATTACATTACATTACATTACATTACATTACATACATACATACATACATACATACATACATACATAGGTTCATGAAACAGGATGCAAAAAAATGAGGTTAGATAATGAGGATTAAATGAGGTTCATGAAACAGGATGCAACTTAGATGAGGTTAGACAATGAGGATTAAATGAGGATAAAATGCAAATTTCAAAGATTTTGGTCTTCCCAGTGTGTGGCTCACAAAATATAATATATATATATATGCATTTGTTTATATATAATATAATATATATTGATTTACCTAAAATCACCTGCAGTCATTCTAAGTTCAGACCCTCCCCAACCTATTGACCTACTGCCTGCCTACTTATTTATCTATCTATATATATATTATATTTAGGTTCGAAACCACATACAATGTGGTTGAAAAAACGGCTTCCCAAAGAATGGAGGGCAAACACTGGCCAGCCTTGGAACTTCCACTGGCAAATCTTTTCCTCGCTCACCAAACCCCGTGTCAACCATGCCAACCACACAAGTCGCCCAGACCTTAGCGAGTGTTTTGAGAAAGAAAACACTGCAAGTCATGTTTTGTCATCACCGTCATTCTATGTTACGGTCCGGTTCAACCTGTCTACATATATATATATATATACATACACACATGTATGTGCATATTGTCGTATGTAAATCCAAATTTGTATGTATATATATATATATATTCAAACCAACAACCCTCTTCTTCACTTGGTTCAAGCTGCTCAAACCCATGCAAAGATTTGAGGGCATACGCGTCCCCCCGCAACGAGTCTTGCAAAGAGAACCTGAAGCAGAGCTGGGAGCATAAATAAGTGTCCCAAACAGCCACTAAAATATTATATATATAAATTATATATATATATTGGGGGTCTTCCTAAACCACCAAGCAGCTGGAAAAAAAAAACACAGGTGTATGGTATGGTAAAGTCTATTATAACGCCACATGTTCTTACACATACACACACATATATATATATATATATTCTAAAGAAATCGCAAGCACATAACTAGCCACCGTGTGCTGAGGGATGCTTGAACTGACCCTTGGAGTTCATCCAAGTTTTTCCGGCTCTCCGGGCTCGAAGTCCAGCAAATGACGCTGTTAGCATATGCCTTTGAGAAACAATGATAATACTGATGGAAGCCATCGTTGGGAGCTCCAGCTGCTCCGAACCCCCCTGGCACTGCGCAGGCCGCAGTGCCAGAGGAGTCTCCGGTCAAGATCACCTCGGTTTGTGCAAAAGACATGTATATATATATATATAATTGTTATTTACAGCATGAAGAGCAACAGTGAAAGTGGGGATAATCCCTAGTGTAGATAGAAAGTGATACATATATATAAGTCAAATTCAGTCGCCACATTGTGTCTCCGGCAGAACTCAGCCTTGAATGCAGCAAAGCGATTGGACGAATGCTGGCTGGCGCTGTCTGCAATGAGAAGGCATCGGTCTGTAATCTTGAGGCCTAAGGCTCTCCTTCTGGCCCTCAACTCACCTGCAAAGAAATCCAAGAACTCGCACATGGTCTCAGCTGTCCAGAAGTGGCTGCGGGGCTTTGGGCGCCCCACATGCAACCAGGCTTCCAGTTCCTCTCTTGCTGTCAGATCTCCCACCCTCTGATTGATTCCAAACTTAGAATGGGTAAATGTCATGTCATATATAGAATTTTACATAAATATATATATATATGTGTAAATATATATATATATACATAATCTGAATACAGCTGCAAGTTCCCAGTCCTCGTTGATGGCAGCACGTTGTGACTCACTCAGATCATCCTCATTGACAGTGACGAATCCCCTTGACACGCTCCCATCACACCATGAGAGTGTGGTGAGAGTGTGGGGCTTTCGATAGCCTTCTACTGGCACGTTTGCTGCAGCTCCACCAGTCAGCCGAGGAGTTGCAACCATTGCTTCCTGTTCCCCCACGGGCATGTCGGCCACAGTGCTTTCTAGGATCCTTTCAAACTTCTGTCTCAACTTTTTCTTGCTGGGAAGCTTCGAAAGTGGATCATATTCCGATGGCTTCTGCTGAAGTGACCGGGCTCGAGGACGAAAGTTCATGCACCATACTTGATCAAAGTTGGCGCAGAGCTTCTCATGGATTTTGTCGCTGGAAATCTCCATGGCGACGTAATCTCTGACCCTCTTCATGGCAGGATGGTTGAAATCCAAGTGCTTACCAGGCTTTGTATTGGCTTGCATGCCAATGGCGCATCTGTTGCAAATGCGCCATGCATGCTTCCTCAGTAGCAAAGAGGCTTGAACTTAGAATGCCTAGACCCATCCTCAGATTTAGCTGAAATATATATATATATAAAGTTGAAATCTATAAGACAAACCCTCTTTTGAGAAAACTTGTCACAATGATAAATCACCTAGACAAGCTGCCTGAAGCCCTCGTCGGATGGTTTCAAAGAAATGGTTTTCAGCGTTTCCAGCTGCTTCTTGATGGACGCGAGCACTTCTTGAAAATTCGTTTCCCCACAATATCGGCCTGACAGCTTGTTCATTTCCGCCAGAACAGTTTCTGGATTTGAAAGCTTTTCTCGCACTGATCCAACGCACTGATTCCACAATTCCACTGAGGATGACAATGCACCAGCGACGTAGTCGTAGTCAACCTCTTCCCCCAGTTGCAAGCGTTCAACCTGCACTGCGTAAAAAAACTGCTTATATATATATATATGCAGGAAGTGCCACATAAAATTATCCTACACACACATATACATAGAGAGAGAGAGAGCACTATACAGAGAAAATCTATATATATATATGTATGTATAAATATATATATAAATGAAATCATTCTATGTTGTATTCTAGTGCAGGCTAAGGACCACATGTTCACCAACCACGCTCACAAACTCCTGAGGCAATATGCTGCTTGATCCTTCAGCTCCTCGAGTAATAAATTTCTTGGGTTGGCCCAAAAACTGCTTGATGATGTCTGGGCACTCTTTGTGTGTTTTTGCGATATCTGGAGCTGCCCGGCAAACAAGTGGCCAATTGTGCTTGTCCCGGACTTTCGGCCACTTCGGGTAGCAGCACCGGTACCACCCTTTCAATCCCAGTCCTTCTACGTACTTCGATGGCTTGGCAACTCCCCTTTTCAAAGCCTTGTCGTAGGCTGCCATCCTTGGAGTGGAAGGAAGCTGGCAAGAAAGTCATTTTATAGATTGCAAGGAAGGAAATGACGTGTGCCTGTGAATGATGCACTGGATTTACTGCAATGGTGTTCCAAAGCGGAGGTTTCAATGTGTACGTATATACCCATATATGATCATATATGTACATAAATCTGTTGTGTTGGACTCAAACATAGAATGAGTAAACACCTAGAAATATGTATATATATATATATATGTGTGTGTGTGCAGTAGTGTTCATTGAAGAAAACTGAGGACGGGTCACTTGTTCTTTGTCCCATATTGATGCCACGACTTTCTTCCCGTTGGAAGACTTCCGGCTGTCTTTTCCTGGAACCTTCCTTTTCCAGTAGTACTTGCGCTTTCTTTCTTTCTTCTTTTTCTCATCTGCACGGGCTGGAACGAGGTGGTCAAATTCAGGTGCCTTTCTCTTCTGTCGGCAACGGAGAAGCAGGGGCCCTCCACTTCCAGAACTGGCACTGGCACCGGTGTCCTTCATCATCCTGGGCTCTTTCAGGAATGTTTTGGATCGTTTTGAAGAGCTCTTCTTTTGGGAAGCTATCATGGAATCCCATGCCCCATTGCAAGCAACCAGCGCACTCAGAAACACCGCCTGATTGACGGTTGATGAAAAGGAATTGCCTGCGAAGCACTGCGCTAGTTTTGGCGATTCGAGCAGCTTCTTGTACATTTCCTTGGACCATGTTCCGGGCCAAAGCCCTTGGGCGTTCAGATAGTCGGTGGGACCCAAGTATCTTTTCTGATGGCAATAGTATACGGGGTGCTGTGGTGTTATGCACGGAACAGCACCCAGGGCACACGTTGAAGACCGCAAACTGCCAGCACAGTCCACGAACACATGTGTTGAGTGAAAGTATTTTTCTTGTGCCCGAAGAACATGAACTGCATGGCGTTCGTTTTTGGGCTCTTCTTCCACAAAGTCCTTGGGAAGAGGAAACATCAAACTCACAGGAAACTGGACATTGGACCTCATCATCTGCAGTGCATCTTTGAACCTCTGCATAAGCTCTGATCTGCTGGAGTCAGCCTGGGAGATGATAGTTGCCAGCCCCCATGTTCTGTTGCGTCTTTGTGGCAACAGAAAGTTCCTCGAATCAGCTATATCCCAAATGAAGTGATACCCCAGATCCTTCAATTGGTCTACCATGACCTTTCAGGGAAAACACATGCAGATGGAAAATGTGTGTGTGAGTATGCGTGGGTGTGTTTGATGTGTACATGTAGGACCAATGTTTCAACACACGCCTCCACACACGGCCTGTGAGTCACACCGTTCGAATCTCTTGTCACTGTTGTGACAGCTTTGACGTTTTCGTATATCGCCAAGCTGGGTTGCAGAAGTTCCAGTACCTTCAGGGACATGCTGAAAAGGGGAACTCAGAATGACCAGCATGGTAGCTGTTGTGCATAAACACACACATATATATAAAGATATATATATATATTATATATATATACATTAGTTGTGAGATGTAAAGCATAGATACTAAAACGGTTCACTCTATCCAGGCTCACATCCGCATAGCTTTTTCCTTTCCAGTCACTTCGTGCGGTCTCAACCTGCTCCTCGCAGGATAGTGCTTTGGAACGCTGTGCAGGTAGTCTCCTGCACAGCAGCACTGGTTGGATCCGTACACCCTGTTCCGCTCTCCTGTGAACTCAGGAGGCTACACAGGTTGAATCACTCCCGCCCAGTGCTACAGTCGTGGGACTCCACGTAGAGATCAACATCCTCAATGATGTGATCCCCTACAAGAGAGGATACTCCACAGGAGTCCTATCTCATAGGGAGGGAAGGGAGGGAAAAGAAAGAACGATGAAGCCAGTTTGGCTCAGACTTGAGCCAAAATGGATTCATCAGCTTACATACTCACCCTAATGATAATGCACACCCAGTGCCTGCCAAACACGATGCATACATATAAAGATCTATATTATATATATAACGGAATGTATATATATATAAATGATGATATGGCCCTATTTTGAGACTACCCATATGTAGTCGGTAAACTTAGAATGACTCCAGAATTGCATTTCCAGAAAGAGCCTTCTTGAAGCCATAGGTGTATGTGATTCCTGAAGTTCCATGAGCTTCCTCTTCGGGGCTGCCGTTGTAGCACCCCGCGTGATCAGAGCGGGTCGTGTTTAGCAAAGAAACATCCTTGCAGGATGGACCGGATTCAAGCACATCTATTCCGCAATTGGAAGAATCTATGTTGTGGATCTTGCCGCACGTGTAGCAAAATCCGCCACCGTCCCTGAAATCCAAAACATCGCCGAAGAGATGTTCCATTGCATGGTCATGTAGGAGAACTGCCCTTTTCGCAGGATCTTTCTCGCATGAGAACACGTGACGCACAGTGATCTGCCCGCCGCACACCTGAGGGAAGCGGTGAGCGGCCGTGATGATACGCTACTATATCTAGCGTGTGTATATGTTTGACATGTAAGTATATCTTATATATATAATATCTATATAAACATAATATATATATATATATATATATGTGTAGATATATGTGCGAGCTACTCATTCTTAGTTACTGTCTTCCACAGGCACCCTCAAGCATGCAGACTGAACATGGTTTTGGAAAAAGCAAAGCCTCCAACTTGTTCAACTCCTTCACCGTTTCCTTCATCACACTGACACAAACATCGGTGCCCGAGCAGGTTGTCCCAAGGCGAATGCACAGATTGCTCTTGGCCAAGGAAGCCACTCTCTGCTGCAAATCCAGTCTAGCAGTGGAATCGAGTTGCCCTAGGAAAAACTTGGCAGTGTCCTGCAAATCCAGCTTTCTTGGAATTGCCGGGTTGTTTCGTGCCTCTGCCAGCTTTGAAACTGGCAGCTTGAATGTCCGGTTTTTGAACCTTGGATTCTCGTCCAGACATGGCAACCTGACTGAAGGATCAAGCCAATCCAACTCTTTGAGCGGCCACTTCCAAATATTCTTGTTTTTGGACATGCTGTCTATTTGGGCTGCAGTATACATGCCTTTGCATTCCCGATTGAAAATCTTCATCTTTGAAAAGTTTTTCGTCTCAGTCACTTTGACCACCTCTGGGTTCCCCAGCGTCAGCTTTCCCACAGCGTAGTGCCCATCTTCTTTGCGGATGATGGCTGTGACAAAATGCTCACGTGTGTTGAAAGACCGGAGAATGGCTGTTCCATTGGGGCCCTCCCCATGAAAAATGACATCCCACTCACTTTGCAACAAAAGTAAAGCTGTCTCCGCACCAGAGCCCACATCCTGTTGCTCAGCACCATGGTCATCTTCATCTTCATCATCCAAGTCTAGGTCTTGATCTTGATTCTCAGCAACATAGTCATGAACATCAGAACTACCGTTGCTCTTTGCTAGTGTTAGCATTTCTGGCGATGCTAAACTGAAACTCTCCAGGCTCTGCCTGCTTGCTTTCCGGCATGGGGTTTTGAAGTCTTCTGGAAGTTGGCCTTTTCGTTTTTGTCCGGACATTGGTTGTGGATCCGAACGTCCAGAATCGTCTCCCTCTGCGGACAAGAAAGAGCTAGACTGTCTGGCTAGATTGCGACCTGTTTGGATTTGTTCACGGTCAAGCCACACCCACACTTCACCTGATTTTGAGAGCACAGTGGGTCTGTCTTGGAAAGTGTGCACAAGTTCAAACTGGTACCCATATAAAAAATCACGTTCTCCCGAAAGACTTTTCTGGTACTCTTCGAATTCACCCTCAGTCACACGGTGCAAGCCATAGAACTTTGGAAATTTCTTGTGTGGTATCGTGATGCATTGCTCAAACTCGAGGACAGCCAAAGCTTTGCGGGAGCCAGTCCCAGTGCTAATCAACAAGATGTTGTCTCCAGGCTCCAAAAATTTGTACTGCCTCGAACGAATCTCCATCACTTTTAAGGACTCGGTTGGACCTTCCACAAACCTTCTTGCAAACTCATGTTTCACTAAAAGTCCACATACTTTTCCACCCTTCTGCTTCAATATCTTGAACAGCGGCTCCAGCTCCTGACACCCCAGGTGTCGACAGCTAACAGCTAACATTCAAGTGTGACAAAAGGCATTCTAAGTTTTAATCACTCAGAACCCGCTTCTATCTCTCTGTCTCTCTAAATATATATATATATATATACATATATATATATAGATATTCCGTATAAATAATCTGAACAACTATTTGCACAAATGGTTTATCATGCTGCTGAAATCTAAAGAATGAAACTCCAATCTACTAGCCTCTGCTTGCGTTGGTGCAGCAATTCCCTCTTCATCCGCTGCCTCTGAAGCAACGGAGAATGGAAGAAAGAAACGGAGAATGGAAGAAAGCAACGGAGAATGGAAGAATGTATATATACATAGATGTATCTTTCGACCCCCAAAGTGTAGTCACCTAACATTCACACGTAACAAAGGGCATTCTAAGTTTAAACTTCTCAGAGCCCACGCCTCTGAACCTACACAAAATCAATTATGTATATATAGATTTAAAACATTATATATATATATACATGTTTAAATATTTGGTGGAAAAACTGACTACATACTGAAACACAGAGAATGACACTCCAATCTCCTGGCCTCAGCCTTTGCTTGCGATGGTGCAGCAATTCCGTCATCATCCGGGGCCTCCGAAGCAACGGAGAATGGAAGAAAGTAGACATAGATTTATCTTTTGACCCCCAAAGTGTAGTCACCTAACATTCACAATTCACAAAGGGCATTCTAAGTTTAAACCTCTCAGAAACAACGCCTCTATACCTACACAAAATAAATATGTATATATATATACATGATTCTACATGTATGTATAAATACATAGACATGCATATACATTTAAAAAAAACGTAAAGGACTATCTACACAAATACTTGGCTTAGGATGCTGAAACACAAAGAATGACACTCCAATCTCCTGGCCTCAGCCTTTGCTTGCGATGGTGCAGCAATTCTGTCATCATCCGGGGCCTCCGAAGCAACG